GGGAGGGGAGGTGTGGATAGTGACCTGTGCTCGCACACAGGCTTCTTGGTGGCTGCAGCAGCAGCCTTAGCGTCTCATGCCTGTCTCTGGGGTCTGTGCTTTTAGCCGTGGCTCACGGCCACCTCTGGAGCTCCTTTAAGAGTTGCTCTGAATGCCCTCTCCCCCCCGCACAAGGAAACAAAGAGGCAAGAAAAAGTCTCTTGCTTCTTCAGCAGGTCCAGACTTTTCCCTGGACTCCCTCCTGGCTAGCCGTGGTTCACTAACCCCCTGCAGGCTGTGTTCATGCTGCCAACCCCAGTCCTCTCCCTGTGATCCGACCGAAGCCCGAGCCTCAGCTCCCAGCCCCGCCCACCCCAGCGGGTGAGCAGACAAGCCTCTCGGGCTGGTGAGTGCCGGTCGGCACGGATCCTCTGTGCGGGAATCTCTCCGCTTTGCCCTCCGCACCCCTGTTGCTGTGCTCTCCTCCACGGCTCCGAAGCTTCCCCTCTCCATCACCCACAGTGTCCACCCGCAAAGGGGCTTCCTAGTGTGTGGAAACCTTTCCTCCTTCACAGCTCCCTCCCACTGGTGCAGGTCCCATCCCTATTCTATTGTCTCTGTTTTTTCTTTTTTCTTTTGCCCTACCCAGATACGTGGGGTGTTTCTTGCCTTTTGGAAGTTCTGAGGTCTTCTGCCAGCATTCAGTAGGTGTTCTGTAGGAGTTGTTCCACATGTAGATGTTATTTCTGATGTATTTGTGGGGAGTAAGGTGATCTCCATGTCTTACTCTTCCGCCATCTTGAAGCTCCTCCTGATTCCATTCATTTAAAATTCTAGAAAATGTAAAAAAAATCTATAGTGACAGAAATCCAATCAGTGGTTGCCTGGCGGGAAAGGCAGAGGGATGGCAAGGAGGAATTGCGTTGGACAAAGAGGAAACTTCTGGGGCTGATGAATACGTTTATTATCTTGAGTAAGGTGGTGGTTTGTTTGTTTTTTTTTTTTTGCAGTACGTGAGCCTCCCACTGTTGTGGCCTCTCCCATTGCAGAGCACAGGCTCCGGACACACAGGCTCAGTGGCCGTGGCTCATGGGCCCAGCCACTCCATGGCATGTGGGATCTTCCCGGACCAGGGCACGAACCCGTGTCCCCTGCATCAGCAGGCGGACTCTCAACCACTGCGCCACCAGGGAAGCCCACGAGTGAAACTATCTTACAAAAGCTTCCTATGAAGAAAACCCAAAACTAGATTCCCAGGTGAATTTTTCCAAACACATAAAAAATAGATAGTAGATAGTTTAAATTTCATATAAAGTGTTTCAAAACAATTTCCAACTTCTTTTATGAAGCAGCGTAAACCTGATACAAAGCATACAAGTATATTAACATAAATTACAAGACAAGCCTCATTAACACAGAAATAAGTTTTTTTTTAAATAGCATTTTGAATCTAGCAAAATGAAAAGGCTAATAAGCTAAAACATACCATTTCCAAGTAGAGTTTATTCCAGGAATACATCTTGTTTTACCATTTGAAAATCAAGGAATGTAGTAATTCACCACATTAAGAGACCAAAGGAGTTTTTAAAGACTCTGACATAGACAGAAAAGGCACTAGATAAAATTCAATATCATTGATGATTTTAAAAAAACTCTTTTGACAATCGAGGAATAGAATTCCTTTCATTTAAAAAAGTTATCTATGAAAAACTTACAGCTATTATTATACTTAATGGTAAAATATGGAATACTTTCCCCTAACATCAGGAACAGGACAAAGATGTTCATTTTTACCATTTCTATTTATCACTATAAAGCAATGAGGCAAGAAAAATAAAAGGTAAAGTTTAGAAATCAAGTAAGACTTTCTTTTATTGGCACTGACAGGATTGTATACACAGAAAATCCAAAATAATTCATAAACTATTTGAATAAATAATTGAATTTATAAATGTCATGGATAAAAGATCAATGTACAAAAAGAAATTGCAATCCTATGTGCTAGCCCCCAAAATCAAAAAATAAATTAAAATATTTACAAAGGAAAACATACCACATACCTAGAAATAAATTAAACAAAGTTACTTCAAGACCTCTACAATTAAAACTACAAAACACTGTTAAGAGGAATTAAAGACGACCTAGATAAATGGATAATTATACTATGTTCATCAATTAGAAGACTCAGTATTGTAAAGATGTCAATTTTATTCAGGTTATTCTCTAAAGTCAATGCAATCCCAAGCAAAGTCCCAGAAGATTTGTGAAAATTGGTAAGATCTAAAATTAATATAGAATCAAATCAGGAATAGAGAAGGAAGACAATCCTGATGAATAAAAAAGTTGGAAGGCTCTTGCTACCGGATATCCAAAAATACTGCAAAAGCCAAATAAAGATTGAGAAACCATCTTAGCAATCTAAAGAGATGGTAACAGACGGAATCAAACCTTTCTGAAAGGATTTCTAGAACTACTTAGCCTTGGCTGAGAGTTCCCAGACTTCATAGTTCCCTCCCATTGCTAAGACCAGAATGAGCATATTGTGCTAGCTGATGTTATTATTGCCTCTATTTCTACCCCCTACCTGCCCACTCCTGCCTCCTTCCCTTCACCATATACATCACAATTGCCAGGACCCTATGGTTCAGTTAGGACTGACTCCACTCTCTTTTTCTGGATGAGTATTGGGAACCAGTCCTAGACAAACCAGAGAATTACATTCCTCTGGCCACAGTGATTCAATAACAGTTGGCAAGTGAGCCAATCAGATTTAACTGTAATAATCATATTGGAATTGTTCAGAAAGACAATCACTCTCTTCTCCCTGAGACTTCAACCCAGAAAGAAAGCAGCCTGGTTCTTCTGAGGGCCACTGTGAAGAAAAAAAGCCCACAAGGAAGAATAGCTAATGCAGAAAGATGCATAGACAAGACATGGAAACAGAACTCATCCAGATAACATCTTTTTAGCTCCAGGACCCAGCCACCTCTGAAGTTACTTATACCCAAGGATTTTTCAGTAATCAAACCAATAAATTCCCTTTATAGTTTACAAAAATAAAAAGCATGAAGACATGTCAGAGACTGGGAAAAGTTATCTGCAATACACACACACACGCCCACACACACATATATATATATAAAATACACATAACTTATCTGTATTATAACATGTTTTATGTATATGTATGTAACTAGATATAGACAAAGATACACATACATTAAAAAAGGACAAGTAGGGCTTCCCTGGTGGTGCAGTGGTTGAGAGTCCGCCTGCCGACGCAGGGGACATGGGTCCGTGCCCAAGTCTGGGAATATCCCACATGTCGCGCAGCGGCTGGGCCCGTGAGCCACGGCCGCTGGGCCTGTGCGTCCAGAGCCTGTGCTCTGCAACGGGAGAGGCCACAACAGTGAAAGGCCCGTGTACCGCAAAAAAAAAAAAAAAAAAAAAAAAGGACAAGTAACCACAGGAAACCCTTCAAATAAAAAAGGAACCAAAAATGAGTGAAATGCTTCAACAGGTACCCTCATAAAAGAAGATATCCAGGAGGTTCTCTGGTGGCCTAGTGGTTAGGATTCTGAGCTTTCACTGCCGTGGCCTGGGTTCAACCCCTGGTCAGGGAACTGAGATCCTGCAAGCTGTTTGGCACAGCCAAAAAAAAAAGGTATCCAAATAGCCAACAAGCACATAAAAAAGTATTCACCATTATTAACATATCAGGTAAATGCAAACTAAAACAAAAAGCAAGATATTAGCATATACTGTGTTGAATGGCTAAATTAGAAAGTGCTAACCAGGTATGTGGAACAATTGGGACTTTCATGATTAGGAGTACAGGTGGAATCAAACTTTCTGGAAAACTGGAATACCTACCAAAACTAAACATAAAGTCTATCCTATGATTCAGTAATTTCATTCTTATATACATAGCATATACCAAGAGAAATAAGTTCATAAGTCTGGCAAAGGAGCAATTAAAAGGCAAATTAGACGTTATGTTGAGAAAAGAAGCCAACTGCGTACCTGTGCATACTGTATTTTAACATTTACATGAAGATCAAGAACAAACCAACCTAATAAATTATAATAAAAGCCAAAATTGCAGTTACCTCTATGGAGCAATTATTGAGAAGGCAGATGAATGACCTTTCTGGGATCCTGGAAATGTTCTATGTTTATCAGGGTATATACAATGTGAAATTTCATCAAGCTGTACACTTAAGATTAGCACACTTCATACATATTAGGGTATGTATGCCTTAACAAAGCAGTAAAAGATGATAAAGGGGAAGTGGTACAGCTATACTTTTTGAGGTAAATGGGAAATAAGATGGAAGGAAAAAGTGTAGCCTAATGTACCTGAAGAAGCATAAACCAAATAGCTTTCATCTTCTCAAATAAAAAAGGAGTACAGTCTTCCATGTTTGAAGGTGTTAAATATAAACTTTCCTCCACTAAAATGGGAGGAAAGACCAGGTATAATTGAAGTATGCGTCCAGAGCCTGTGCTCCGCAATGGGAGAGGCCACAACAGTGAGAGGCCCACGTACCGCTTAAAAAAGGGGGGGGGGGAATATTGGGTAGGCAATTTCCAGTTTCTGCCATACTAGATCAAAATGAAATTACCATTTGCAAAAGAAATTACAAATACCGTAGTGTTGATACCACAATGATTGCATACTTAGAGAACAATGAGAGTAAATTAGAAACTAATAATAATAATTAAAAAAAAAACCACTCATGCCTGCACACGAAGAAATACACTTCAACTCCCCGATGAGTCCAAAAAACTCTTAACGGAAGTAACATTTACATCCAAACCAAAACAAAAGCACCTCATAAAACATACACAGCTACAGCTGAAAGGTATTAGGGGAAATTTATCACCTTAAACATTCATCAGAAAATTAAAACTGGAAATCAATGAGCCAGCAGTAGTCCACTTTAAGGATGAGGCACCGACCTTTGCTTCTAGTATGAATTTTCTTAGAACACAGTAAGTGACGTCCATGAAGGTGTTACCATATGATTTAAATACATAGGGTTTCTCTTAGTTGTGAGTTCTCAAGTCTTCAAAACGATGAGCAACAATTTCTTACATTCACAGGGTGTCTCCACAGTGTGAGATCTTGCGTGCTAAGATCTGAAAAAGCCTTGCAGACATTTCCTTATTCCTTACTTTATATGTTTCCTCTAGTGTGAGTTTTCAAATGTCTTCGAAAGTAAGCAGGACAAACAAAGGCTTTCCCACATTCCTTACATTCATAGGGCTTCTCACCAGTGTGGCTTCTTACGTGTCTTCGAAAGGATGAAGGACAACTGAATGCTTTCCCACATTCCAGACATTCAAAGGGTTTCTCTCCAGTGTGCATCCTTGTGTGGACAGTAAGGTATGAAGAATGGCGAAAGGCTTTCCCACATTCCTTACATTCATAGGGTTTCTCCCCAGTGTGCGTTCTCATGTGGATCCTAAGGGCTGAGGGGTAAATGAAGGCTTTTCCACATTTCTTACATTCATAAGGTTTCTCTCCAGTGTGAGTTCTTATGTGTACCGTAAGGTGGGAGGAACTAATAAAGGCTTTCCCACATTCCTTACATTCATAAGGCTTCTCTCCACTGTGAGTTCTTAAGTGTTCTGTGAGGGATGAGGAACGACTAAAGGCCTTCCCACATTCCTTACATTCGTAATGCACCTTTCCAGTGTGATCTCTCACATGTGCTCTAAAGGACGAGGGACAACTGAAGGCTTTTCCACATTCCTTACATTCGTAGGGTTTCTCTCTACTTTGATTTTTCACATGTGTATTCAGGGAAGTGGGAAGATAGAAGGCTTTTCCACATTCCAGACATTCATAGGGTTTCTCCCCAGTGTGTTTTCTCATATGGATACTTAAGGAGGATGGACAATTGTAGGCTTTCCCGCATTCCTTACATTTATAGGGTTTCTCTCCTGTATGTGTTCTGACATGTACGGTGAGCTTTGAGGACTCACTGAAGGCTTTCCCACACTCTTTACATTCATAAGGCTTCTCTCCAGTATGGATTCTTATATGTATTATAAGGTGAGAAGAGGAACTGAAGGCCTTCCCACACTCCTTACACTCATATGGCTTATCTCCACTGTGAATTCTTTTGTGTTTGGAGAGTGAGGAGGAACAACTAAAGGCTTTCCCACACTCCTTACATTCATAAGGCTTATCTCCACTGTGAATTCTTTTGTGCTCTGTAAGGGATGAAGAACAGCTAAAGGTTTTCCCACATTCCTTGCATTCGTAGTTTGTCTTTCCTGTGTGAATCTTCATATGTGCCCTAAAGAATGAAGAACAACTGAAGGCTTTGGTACATTCCTTACATTCATAGGGTTTCTCTTCAGTGGGAGTTTTCATATGCTTCTTAAAACAAGCAAAAAAATGGAAAGCTTTCCCACATTCCTTACACTGATAGGGTTTGCTTCCAGTGTGAGACCTTATGTGATTCTTAAGGGATAAATGATCTGTGAAGGCCTTTTTACACTCTTGGCATTCATAGGCTTTTACTTCAGTAGTTCTCTTGAGTATATTAAGATTTGAGATATGGCTGAAGGTTTGTCTACACTGATTTTCTTCGTTATGTTCATAGATGTTCTCCACCATGTGACTTCTTTTAAAAAATAAAAAGCACATTATTAGCAGCAAGTAAATTTGTACCATTTTCAGTGACTACATCTGTTTTCTTCCCTGTCCAATGATAAGCTGAAAGTTCTCACAGAGGGCTCTACAATAGCCAATATTATCACTGAGTTTTTGGCTTATGGGGTTTCTCTGATGGTTGCTTACAAATGAATTATGTATCAAACATGGAAGAGCTCAGTCTCATTTATGGAAAAAATATCTTATGAAAATTCCATATGAAATCACAATTTTTGACCAAGTTTTATATACATGTTTTTTAAATTTTGTGACATTTTAAGATTCTCTCCTGAGACACTACCCTCTCTTATATGAATGACACTCACCTCAAATGTCTCTCATGGTTTTTGTTCTGATAATCAAAACCATGGTATTCCCAGCTTTTGTGTAAAATGGACAACGAGGAAGCACTCCTTTTGAATCTTACTACATTCTGTTCACTGGATATTTTTTCTCCATAAATATCTTGTGAAGCGACTAATTCATTAGTTTTAAGTTGAGCCTCAAAACCTGAAACAAAAAATAAAGGCATCATGAAAGAAGGACTTTTGGCAGTGTGGCTGGTTCAGGACTTTCCCAATAAGCACAGGGTCAAAATGGCAAAGCAATTAAGAAATAATCCTACGAAGATTGAGACTGATGGTAACATAAATAGGGTATTCCTAGGGGAGCAAAACAAAAAGGAACTGGGTAAAACGCACATGACCAAATACTACATTACTAAGAGGAAATATGGGCTTTCCCAAGAACAAGGACTGATGAAAAGTCAAAAGAGTAATCGAAGGTATCTGTGGAAGATCAGCTTCCTCAGACATGGCAAAGTTTCACTTTGCTTTTATTTGATTTTTCCAAATGTAATATCCCCCAACCAAGTCAGTTTCTCCCAAGAATTCTTGCCTTCCTGATGCTCCCCCTGGGTGGGTCCTCTCTCTGCTATCTCCAGGTCCTCCTCTTGTTTCCACTGGGAGATCAGATAGGGTGTGTGTAGTGGATACCCTGTTCATGCGGAAAGGTATATCATGAGAGAAAACAATGAGGAACCATAAACATTTCCATGAGACAGGGCAAAAACTTTGCTCTTCTGTTACTCTAAAGCAAGTAGGAGCTTAATTGCAACAAAATGTTGAATGTATTTTTTTAAGGTGGGAGGGGGTGGTGTGATGTCTAGAACTGATCTGACATTCACGCCTAAACCTCAGTATTATTAGAAACTGGTCCAATATTCACAGGCAGGACATACTGTTCTCCTGTTGAAGATAAATAATCTCAGAATACCAATCTCAGACAAGGTTACTCTGAGACCATGATAAGATGAAACAAAATAAGGCTACTTCATAATTTAGCCTAGGGACAGACAAAAAAAGTCACTGTGCCATCCACAAAATACTAATAGAATTTCCCCTGCATCCAGATTTCTGTCAGCATCCAATCTAAAGTGAACACCTATGGACTGGGTTGAACGGTGCCCCTCAAAAATTCATGTCCATATATACACTACTATGTATAAAATAGACAACTAATGAGAACCTACTGTACAGCACAGGGAACTCTACTCAATGATCTGTGGTGACCTAAATGGGAAGGAAATCTAAAAAAGAGTGGAAATATGTATACATAAAACTGACTCACTTTGCTGTACAGCAGAAACTAACACAACATTGTAAAGCAACTCTACTCCAATAAAAATAACTAACTAAATAAATAAATGACAGCATAACATTAAAAAAAAATCATGTCCAAACAGATCAATGGAACAGAATAGAGTCCATAAATAAGTCAATATAAATATAGTCATAAATATAATCAACTTATCTTTGACAAAGGTGCAAAGGCAATATAATAGAGAAAAATATAGTCTTTCCAATAAACAGCGCTAAAACAACTACTAGACATCAATATACATTTAAAAAAAAAGAAGAATCTTGACACAGACCTTATAATCTTGCAAAAATTAACTCAAAATACAGGAGGAGGCATCCAAAGCTTCAGGACAACTTGGGGCCCCATCAATAGGGAGTAAAAAATTAGCTCAAAATAGATCACAGATCTAAATGTAAAACGTAAAACTATAGAACTCCTAGAAGATAACATAGGAAAAAATGTAAGTGACCTAAGATTTGGAGATGAATTGATAGGTGAAAATTGATCAGGGGAAACTTCACTAAAATGGAGTTGAGAAGCTGGAAGGGGAAGCTTTCATGCAGTTCCACAGGACATCAATTATAGGAAGAGGGCTTCCCTGGTAGCGCAGTGGTTAAGAATCCACCTGCCAATGCAGGGGTCACCAGTTCGAGCCCTGGTCTGGGAAGATCCCACTTGCCGCGGAGCAACTAAGCCCGTGTGCCACAACTACTGAGCCTGTGCTCTAGAGCCCACGAACCACAACTACTGGGCCCACGTGCCACCACTACTGAAGTCCACGTGCCACAACTACTGAAGTCCATGTGCCTAGAGCCCATGCTCCACAACAAGAAGCCACCAAAATGAGAAGCCCGTGCACCGCAACGAAGAGTAGCCCCTGCTCACTGCAACTAGAGAAAGCCCGCGCGCAGCAACAAAGACAATGCAGCCAAAAATAAATAAATTTATAAAAAAACAAATTAGAGGAAGAATTGTTAATTACAGACTCCAACAAAAGAATCATCAGGGCTTCCCTGGTGGCGCAGTGGTTGAGAGTCCACCTGCCAATGCAGGGTACATGGGTTCGTGCCCCAGTCTGGGAATATCCCACATGCCGCGGAGCGGCTAGGCCCGTGAGCCATGGCCGCTGAGCCTGTACGTCTGGAACCTGTGCTCCGCAACGGGAGAGGCCACAACAGTGAGAGGCCTGCGTACCGCAAAAAAAGAATCATCAAGAATCACCAGTTATAATCCTTACAGGAAAAGATGTTCATTGCATCCCCTATAAGAAATCAACTACCGCAGCAACTAAGCCAATATGAAACCATCATCACCCTGAACTCTCATTTTTCTCCAATAGACTTTCATCCAAAACAACCTCTCCCAATTTCCTCCTTTTTCTCTATAAAATTAGTTCTTCTCCCTTGATTTTTGGACTTGCCTATGGCTTTTGTTATAGCTTTCTTGTGCTAAACTGCAATTCCTCTGCTATGTCCAAATAAACCATTTTTGTTGGTAAAATAACTATCTTATTTTTAAGGTCAACAGATAATGACCTGAAAGACACAACTCATGAAAGAAAGAATTGACAAGTTGGAGTTCATTAAAATTAAAAACTCTTGCTCTGAGAAAAAACTGCCAAGAGAATAAAAAGCCACAGACTGGAAGAAATTATCTGCAAAAGACATATCTGATAAAGAAGTGTTATCCAAAATATACACAGAATTCTTAAAACTCAAACATAAAGAAAACAAACAACCCGATTTAAAAAATGGGCCAAAAACCTTAACAGATACCTCATCAAGGAAGACACACAGATGGCAAATAAGCATATGAAAAGATGTTCCACATCATATGTCATCAGGAAAATGCAAATCAAAACAATGAGATACCACTATACACCTATAAGAATAGCCAAAATCTGGAACACTGACAATGAAGAATTTTGAGAATGTGGGGCTGGTGGGAATGCAAAATGGTACAGTCACTTTGGAATACAGTTTGGCAGTTTCTTACAAAACCTGTATACTCTTAACCATACAGACAGGCAATTGCACTCCCTGGAATTTACCCAAAGGAGTTAACAACGTGTCTACACAAAAATCTGCATGTGGATGTTTACAGCAGCTTTATTCATAATTGCCAAAACTTGGAAGCAATCAGAATGTTCTTCAGTGGGTGAATGGATAAACAGGCTGTGGTACATCCAAACAATAAAATATTAATCAGCACTAAAAAGAAATGAGCTATCCAGCCATGAAAAGAGGTGGAAAAACCTTAAATGCATATTACTAAGTGAAAGAAGCCAGTCTGAAAAGGCTATATATATACCGTGCGATTCCAACTACATGACATTCTGGAAAAGGCAAAACTATGGAGACAGTAAAAAGATCAGTTGTTGCCAGGAGTTGTGGGGAAGGAGAAATAAATTGGGGTGGAGGGAATATAGAATTTTTAAGGGTAATGAAGCTATTTTATGATACTATAATGATGGATATGTCATTATATATTTGTCCAAACCTTAAAATGTACAACACCAAAAGTGAACACTAATATAAACTCTGGACTTAATGTGATAATGATGTGTCAGTGTAGGTTCATCAACTGTAGCAAATATACCACTCTGGTAGGAAGGCTGTGAGTGTATGGGGACAGGGGGTATATGGGAAATATCTATCTGTACCTGTTACTCAATTTTGCTGTGAACCTATAAACTGCTCTAAGAAAAATAAAGTGTACTGAGAAAAAAATCCCTGTCCTCCTAGAATTTCAGAATGTTACTTTATTTGGAAATAGGGTCTTTGCAGATATAATCAAGTTAAGGTAAGTTGTACTGGATTAGGGTAGGCCCTAAATGCAATGACTGGCGTCCTTACAAGGACAGAAAGACTTAGAGACAGAGGACGAAGGCTGTGTGAAGATGGAGGCAGAGATCAGAGTAATGCAGCTACAAGCCAAGGATTGCTGGCAACCATCAACAGCTAGGAAGGGGACAAGGAGAGATTTTTCCTGAGCCTTCGGAAGGGTCATGACACCCTGATTTCAGACTTCCAACCTCCAGAAATTTAAAAGAATAAGGTTCTGTTTTTCTTAGCCATCCAGTTTGTGGTGCTTTGTTATGGAAGGCCTAGGAAACCAATACAGCCTGCTTCCACAGACCTACCCCCAAGTCATTCAACCTAAGTACACAAATCCTATAATATTTACTTTCTAACACCTTCTTTCTGAGACATGCCATGGCTCCCCATGGCATGTGTTCTCCCTCACTGCTCAAAGTAATAAACCCAACTTGCTTAACTGGTGGTCTCTGGGTACAGGGCACTAACAGCTGTAAAATTCTCAAAAGGTCCCAAACCACCAATTTTCTCCCTGTGCCCCAAAGTGACCCCCGAAGTCTGTGCCCACAATTTCTACACTTAATAAGCCTTGAGGCTTCCAGCCACAAGAAAAAGAGAAAGTCAGTTCAATACACGTTTATTTTTTCTTTTTTTATGTTAATTTCATATTTATCTTCTTGCCCATTACACCTAAGCATTTTGAATACAGTGACATCTTTTTTATAGTATACATTCAAAAGGGTTTGATATAGAGTTCACTCTCAAAAAAATGCTTAATGAATGAAAGAATGATTGAATGAAGAAAAATAAGACCAACAGCATCTTTAAAACACTGGAAGAAATGAAAAGTCTGCATTCAGTGCCAGTGTCAGAATGGATCAGGAGATTTCCACTGATTCTTTTTTTGTTGCTGTTTTATACTGGTAGAATATTTTAACAATATGCATTGTTATTGTTTATTTTCATGGTGAAGCCACTAGACTATAAGTTCCTTGGGGTCAGTGACCATGTCTGTCTTATTTACCAATTTATTCCAATTCCTCAACCCAAATCCTAGAGCAAAGTCAATTAGTAAGATAAAACTGTTTTCTAAACGACTAAATGAAGGAAAGTTGCCACCCTTACCTAATGAGGCCAGGTTCTGGAAGTTTTCCAGCATCACATCTCTGTAGAGGTTTCTCTGAGCGAGATCTAGCAAAGCCCACTCCTCCTGGGTAAAGGCCACAGCCACATCCTCAAAGACCACTGGTTCCTAAAACATTCCACATATTTTGTTCAGAAAAGTGCCAACTCCCCCAATGTGTGCAGGAGGATGAATGAGGCTGGAAACACTGAGGAACTGAGAATCAATTCATAGGAAGTTCAGAAGATTCTATTCTCCCAACATCTACCCTAGGATTCAGTCATCAGATCTTCTTTGTTCTACATAAGCATACTGACTGATCAAATTTTCTCACAGATTTAACAACACTTTTGAAACAATAAATTTATCTTTCCACAGTTTGATGGTGACCAATTCCAGTCTCACAATAATCCAGAACATCCAGAGGATCTAGCAGAAATGAAATGCTCTAGAAATGAAATAATAATTTCCACATTGAAACCAGCAAAAATTCCTTGTTACAGAAACAATTTCACTGCTTCCTTATATCCCACCACAGCAACCAGCACAACACAAAACACTGGGTCAAATCTGGATGAGGGGGCTTCCCTGGTGGCGCAGTGGTTAAGAATCCGCCTGCCGATGCAGGGGACATGGGTTCGAGCCCTGGCCTGGGAGGATCCCACGTGCCGCGGAGCAACTGAGCCCGTGTGCCACAGCTACTGAAGACCCAGTACCTTGTTGCTCTGCAACAAGAGAGGCCTCCGTGATGAGAGGCCTGCGCACCACAACAAAGAGTGGCCCCCGCTCGCCGCAACTAGACAAAATCCGCATGCAGCAACGAAGACCCAACGCAGCCAAAAATAAATAAATAAAATATAAAAAAAAAAAATCTGGATGAGGTTTTAATGAATAAAAACACACTGAGGGACAGAGAGCTTTTCTTTTTCTTTTTTTTTCTTTTCCCACAAAACCTGGGGCCCAGGAGTCTGCAAGAAGCACAGCATTCAACCCAGGCCCACAGCCGGCCACATTTTCTTGCACTTAAGGCCAGGGGGCTGTAAATTATACAACATGAGCTAAATTCAGCCTATCATCTATTTATGTAAGTAAAGTTTTATTGGAACACAATAAAACACTTGTTTATACACTGTATATGGCTGCTTTAACACTAAAATGGCAGAACTGAGTAAAACAGAAACTCTATGGCCTTCAAAGCCTAAAATGCTTACTATGTGGCCTAATGCAGGAACAGGTTGCTGACCCCTGCTCTAAACAATTAGGAGATCGATGGCCCGGTGGAACTGAAATATTCTTTTGGAGAATTATTAGCTCTTACTCACCTGTGTCATATTTTTCTGTAACTCTGCAGCTGTTCTTCCTTCCTCCATGTTCCCTTCATGAAGAAAGACAGAGTATTGAGAAGTTAGAGCTGAGGCAGGAGAAAGAAGACATGAGAATCTGGGTCTCCCAACAATTTCCATAATCAAGACTGTGGATTTTCCAGCACATCTGTTAGGAGTGATCACTCCCCTCAAAACACACACACACACAGACATGCATAGCTCCAAGACACCCAAGCAAACACACATCAATCTTGTAAGAAAATAGATGGGGGTGGGGGGGGGAAGAAGTTAGAGCAATCTTATCTCCTCTAGAGCTATAAAACAGTCCTCTGGTTCTTATAGATCATAAAAAAAAAGGTTAAGAGTCTCATTTTGTAAGCAAGTTAACTGTAGTCTAAAAAAATTTAGCTGTCAATTTGACCATAATAATGAAAACATAAAAAAAAAAAAATCAGAGAACGCCTTCAATAGTAAGAATATACACACCATCTCAAATCCAGGAAAGTGTGACCTGTATGCCAGACTTCCAGGGGTTCCATTCCCAATATTTGTTTCTGTACCGCTTGGCAGGCTAACATGTATTACTGCTCAGCCCCTGACTACCAGACCCTCTCCCACAAGGGCTGCAGGGTCCCCAAAGCCTGGTTTTTGAGAAAGAGTATCAACTGACTGAATTCCACATGCAGGTGGCAGAGAAGACTTCTCCTACTCAATTCTGCAGGAATTGTACAGGAGGTACAGCAGCAGCAGAACAAGAACACTTGGAGTGAAAGTAGCAGTGTGTGTCATCTCTCACAGTGATATCTGCAGCACTATTGCACAAATTTCAAATAACAAAAATGCAACAGTTTCTTCCACTGCTGTGGATGAAGTATGTATTTTAAAGCCAATACAAACTGTAACATTCTTTACTAACATGTTCCATTTGAGCAACTAAGTTATGAGAATGACTTGGCAAAGAGATGCCCATACCTCTGAAAAAAGATTATTCATAGAAACTCTGCAAATCAGATACTATCACAACCAGTTTATAGTTGAAGAATCTTGGAAAGAGTCACTTAACTATGTGCTCAATGCTACCCAATTAGAAAGCTGCTGAGGAGCTGTGTGTATGCAGGTGTATTTACCTTCAAAGCCTAAATGCCCAGTGAGTGTATTTCTGAACATATACCTTACAATTCAGTTGTCAGTGAGGCCCTTATGCCCTAACATTACCAGGGTCTGGCCTAGAACCCTGTTGGGCACACTATGGAGAGTAGACAAATGAAGTATTATATTCAAGTGTTTTATCTTTGAGATCCTTCTCTTGACTAAGCCCTATGTCTTCAGCAAGGATGCTTCCCTTAAGGCCCTGACCTCCTGCTCCTTCATCTCATATTTATTTCGGTAATATTCACCCTGTCCTACTATGTGCAGTCACAGGAGACACAGCACTGAACAAAACAGAAAAATCCTAAAGTGCCTGGGTCTTATAATCGTTTGAAGGAGGACCACTAAATTAACAAAATATTATCAGGTGGTGGTATATGCTATATAAAAATGCATCACATTATAGGGATAAGGAGATACACACATATTTATCTTTAGCAAATCAGGACTACTTATGTGACAGGGTAGAAGCAGGAAATTAAAATAACTGTTTCAGATAACAGTAGAAATCCACGTCTGGTGTGGTACATATATTTATATACAACTGACCCTTGAACAATTGCAGGGGTTGGGGCACCAACCCTCCGGCAGTGGAAAATTTGAGTATAACTCATATTCAGCCCTCAGTATCCAAGGATTCAACCAACCACTGATCCTGTAGTATTGTAGTATTTAGTACTGAAAAAAATCTGCATATAAGTGGACATGTGCATTTCAAACCCATGTTGCTCAAGGGTTAACTGTATTTACAAATATCATCAAATCCTATAGAAAAAAATCAGTATCAATGGGTTAACCATTGATTTATAAGGGCAGAAAAAGAACAGCATAAAGGTTTAGGATAAAAAATGAGTATATGACAAAATTAACAATATTTTTAAAAACTTAAACAGGATCAGAAAAGCTAAAATGGCAATACTACCCAAAGCAATCTACAGATTTAATGCCATCCCTATCAAGTTACCCATGACATTACAGAACTAGAATAAATAATCCTAAAATTTATATGGAACGATAAAAGACCCAGAATTGCCAAAGCAATCCTGAGGAAAAAGAACAAGGCGAAAGGCATAACCCTCCTAGGCTTCAGACAATGCTACAAAGCTACAGTAATCAAAACAGTGTGGTACTGGCACAAAAACAGACATACAGATCAATGGAACAGAACAGAGAGCCCAGAAATAAACCCACATGCCTATGGTCAATTAATCTTCAACAAAGGAGGCAAGAATACACAATGGGAAAAAGACAGTCTCTTCAGCAAGTGTAGCTGGGAAAGTTGGACAGCTGCATGTAAATCAATGAAATTAGAACACAACCTCGCCTGTGGAGAAAAGGGAAACCTCCTACACTGTTGGTGGGAATGTAAATTGGTATAGCCACTATGGAGAACAGTATGGAGGTTCCTTAAAAAACTAAATATAGAACTACCATATGATCCAGCAATCCCACTCCTGGGCATATATCTGGAGAAAACCATAATTCAAAAAGATACATGTACCCCAAAGTTCACTGCAGCACTATTTACAATAGCCAAGACATGGAAGCAACCTAAATGTCCATCAACAGAGGAGTGGATAAAGAAGATGTAGTACCTATATACAGTAGAATATTAGTCAGCCATAAAAAAGAATGAAATAATGCCATGTGCAGCAACATGGATGGACCTAGAGACTGTCATACTGAGTGAAGTAAGTCAGACAGAGAAAGACAAATATCATACGATATTGCTTATACGTGGAATCTAAAAAAAGATACAAATGAACTTATTTACAAAACAGAAATAGAGTCATAGATGTATAAAACAAACTTATGGTTACCAAGGGGGCAAGGAGGGAGAGGGATAAAGTGGGAGACTGGGACTGACATATACACACTACTATATATAAAACAGATAACTAATAAGGGCCTACTGTATAGCACAGGAACTCTACTTAGTACTCTGTAATGACCTATATGGGAAAAGACTCTAAAAAAGAGTAGATATATATGTAGGTATAACTGACTCACTTTGCTGTACACCTGAAACTAACACAAAATTGTAAATCAGCTATACTCCAATAAAAATTTAAAAAAAAGAACACACCCTCTCACCATACACAAAAACAGACTGAAAATGGCTTAAAGACTTAAACATAAGATGTGACACCATAAAACTCCTAGAAGAGATCATAGGCAAAGCATTTTCCAACATAAATTGTACCAATGTTTTCTTAGGTCAGTCTCCCAAGGCAACAGAAATAAAATCAAAAGTAAATGGGACCTAATTAAACTTACAAGCTTTTGCACAGCAAAGGAAACCATAAACAAAACGAAAAGACAACCTATGGAATGGGAGAAAATATTTACAAATAATGCAACCAGCAAGGCTTAATTTCAAAAATACACAAACAGCTCATACAACTCAACAAAAAAAAAACAAATAACCCAATCAAAAAATGGGCAGAAGGACTTCCCTGGCAGTCCAGTGGTTAAGACGCCACGCTTCCAATGCAGGAGGCATGGGTTTGATCCCTGGTCGGAGAACTAAGATCCCACATGCCACACAGCCAAAAAAAAAAAAAACAAAACGGCAGAAGACCTGAATAGACATTTCTCCAAAGACGTACAGATGGCAAATAGGCACATGAAAAGATGCTCAACAACGCTAATTGTTAAGAGAAATGCAAATCAAAACTATAATGAGGTACCCCACCTCACACTGGTCAGAATGGCCATCATTAAAAAGTCTACAGATAGCAAGCACTAGAGAGGGTGTGGAGAAAAGGGAACCCTCCTACACTGTTAGTGGGAATGTAAGTTGGTGCAGCCACTATGGAAAACAGTATGGAGGTTCCTCAAAAAACTGAAAATAGAATTAACGTATGACCCAGCAATCCCACTCCTGGGCATATACCCAGAGAAAACTATAACTCAAAAAGATACATGCACCCCTATGTTCAAAGCAGCACTATTCACAATAGCCAAGACATGGAACAATCTAAATGTCCATTAACAGATGAATGGATAAAGAAGATGTGGTACATATATACAATGGAATACTACTCAGCCATAAAAAAGAGAAGGGAATAATGCTATCTGCAGCAACATGGATGCAACTAGAAATTATCATACTAAGTAAAGTAAGTCAGAAAGAGAAAGACAAATACCACATGATATCACTTATATGTGGATCTAAAATATGGCACAAATGAAACTATCTACAAAACAGAAACAGACGCACAGATATAGAGAACAGATTTGTGTTTACCAAGGGGGAGAAAGGGTGGGAGAGGGATAGCCTAGGTGTTTGGGGTTAGCAGATGCAAACTATTACATATAGAATGGATAAACAACAAGATCCTATGGTATAGCACAGGAAACTATATTCAATATCCTGGGATAAACCATAATGGAAAAGAATATTTTAAAAGAATGTATATATGTGTATAACTGAGTCACTTTGCTGTACAGCAGAAATTAACACAACATTGTAAATCAACTATACTTCAATTAAAAAAATAATAAAGTGAAAAAAATGTTTAAAAAATTAAAAAATATAGGGACTTCCCTGGCGGTCCAGTGGTTAAGACTCTGCGCTTCCAACGCAGGGGGCACGGGTTCGATCCCTGGTCAGGGAGCTAAGATCCCACATGCTGCAGGACCAAAAAATAAAATAAAGTAAAATAAATAAATGAATATAAACACAAAACCTTGTTTACATCCAGTCATTAAAGAAAAAAATTAGCAGTTTAGAACATACCTACAAAGGAAGCAGAAGTTGCAGATTGTTTTACAGACAGGTTCACCAAGTAAGTAAAGGATTCATAATTCCATTTTTTGGGGGGGTGGAGGGGTGCTGTTTTCCTGTGTATTTCCAAGACCAGAAAAGTACTCAAAACTCAAATATATGTGTA